CTAAAAAAAAACACCTAAAATGCTAAAATTCGAACCTAAAATCTTAAAGATCTAACTATTAAGCTCTCAAAATGAGTCAAAATAACTCTATATAATAGAGTTATCACCTTTATCTCGACATTTTACATTCATAGTATTGGAAACTTACTTCTAAATATTATTGAATTATGCCTCTTTTGAATTCTGAAGATAGATTTAACTTTTATGAATCATTACTTTCTCAAAAATATTAGCCCCTTTAGTTAATTGTATAAGATGTGTTTTTTTGAACCTTAAATATTTGAAGGATTATATTTTATAGGTGTGCGATATCTATTGTGCCTAAGTTTTGGGCGTGACAATTTCTGCATGTACAGGTGGGCATGAATATTTTCTGCCCTTTTGTTTTTTATCCCGTATTTTTGTGGCTAAACTATGTTGCCATTTAGGACCCTTAACAGGGGACTTGTTGCTTTTTCGTGGCTGAATTGGCAGCCCCGTTAGGTCTCTTTGTTTTTTTTTTTTAAATGATATATTGAAACCAGAGAGGAGTAAAAAGCCTCACCTCTGGAAGAAAAAGGAAAAATCCTGGCTATCATTCTCTAAATGAGAATAACAGCCCAGAATCTCTTTCAAAAGTTCACCTAAATAACTACACAAAAGGCCAGGGAACTCAAGGTCTCCTGTACACGTGAAATCGATCCCAAAAACTCCCCAACAACATGAGGTATCCCCATACCTCCCATAACCCAATTTACAAAAGGATAAATTCACACAGTTCAATCGCTTTTCAAGCATCAACTGCCAAGCCAGAAACCCTCCTTCCTCCTAAAAGTGCCTCCGCTCATTAAGGCTCCTAACAAAAACTTTATCCCCTGAAGATGCTTTCCAGCTGGTTCCAGACCTCTGATAATATCCCCATTGGTTAATCGAGCACCCTGATGAGGTCCTGAGCATGTTGAACGCCAACTTTGGCAAGTCTATTAGCCAACTGATTGTTCTCTCTAAACGTATGCCTGACCTCCGAACTTATTACATCTCTCTTTAATCTCTCAATATGCAGTAGCCATTTCCTTAATCTCCACGGTCCTTCTGACGGTTGATTTACTCACTTGACATCATTTCTTGAATCACTTTCAATGGATAAGGAATGAGTGGGGCTCCATTTAGAAGCGATAAATAGGATGAATGCCTCCATTATTGCTCTTATTTCTACTTGATTAGCGTCTCCCATCCCTATTGACTTGGAAAACAAGATTTTAACATGCTCTTTTTCATTTCTCAATGCACCCCCAACCCCAGCCTCACTCAGACAACCTTACGCAACACCATCAACATTAAATTTCATCGTCCCTGCCACTGGTTTAATCCAACCCTCCACTTCTCTCTGTTTTTTATCTTGCTTTATTCCCACACCAATGGAAGGATTTCAGTATGTGTCCAATACTACCCCGTACCTGTTTGGCCATTTAGCCTTTGCCCAGACTGCAATTCTAAGCTTGCAAAGCTTTCAAACTTGATCTTCATCCCATATTGTCCCTCTAAACACTATTTCATTACGATGTAACCACACAGACCAGGAGATTGCATAAAATGTCATTCTCCAAACTTAGTTATCTCCTCCTCTAGTAGCAACCTCGTTCCACAATTTAAAAAACTCTGTTAGCCTGTTCGGGACCACCCCAACACACCCCCCACTCATCACTCCACTTCATCCATAGCCTCCACACCATTTCGCAATGCATAAACAAGTGATTAACCGTTTCCCATTCCTTGTTGCACAAAGCACAATTTGCTGCCTCCTTACTAATCAGCCCTCTCCGCAGGAGCTCATGTTTCACCACAACCCTTTCATGAAGAAGTTGCCAACAAAAGATTTCAATACGATGAGGAACAAGACTTGACCAAACTAGCTTCCAGACATTATTTCCACTGCCTCTCATCATTGAGACTTGTTTGCAGAATGATCTCACAGAATAACGGCCAGAAGCTGATCCTTTCCATGCAAGAGAGTCCTCAATCTTTGTTCAAGTGGTAATCTTCAATAGAGGCGAGCAACTGACTCCACTGCTCTTCCTCATACCCGAAAACCTGTCTTCTTAACTTTATTTCCTACACCTAATTTTCCCCTTCCCAACACCCATACTCCCTTATGAGTCCAATTTTGTTAGTTGCAAGAGCATAAATACGTGGGAAACGTTCCATCGGTGGCTATCCTTCTACCCATTTGTCACACCAGAACAAAATTCTACTACCATCACCCACAAGAAACTGAAAATTTGAGGTAACCTGCAAAGAAAGATCGTTAGAAGCATTCAAAGGTTTGATAATGTTGTTCCACACCCTAAAAGACCTCCTATTTGTATTTACATCAGGAAGAAGATTGGTGGGATTCCCTCCTAATATTTGATATGACAGAAAAAATAGCGGATCAGAGTGCGGGAGATGTTGCTGTTGATTTTTATCATCGATACAAGGTTCATTTTACCAGATCTACACTCCTGTGTAGTATCCTAGTACATATTTTCGAATTCAAACTCTTTTTAATGCAATTCTATCACTTTTCATCCCTGGCAGTGGCAGAAGGATATAAAGTTGATGAAGAAACTTGGTTTCGACTCCTTCAGATTCTCCATTTCATGGACCAGAATTTTACCTAGTAAGTTTGAACTTCATTTATCACCTGCAATATCAATATCGCCATCGAAATGATTCAACTAGCATTCCACCCCGAAATATTGAAATAGTGTTTCACAGAAAAAAGTACTAAAATCAAGTATTTAGAACCATCCTCAATTTTTAAAATATATATTTGATTGGAATGCTTAATTTCATATATTTTAAAATAAAATACTCTCACTCTCTTAACTTTTAATTATAATTCCCAACAGGTATATTAATTTTCCCAAAAATATAAGCATTATTAACAAAAATAATGAAATGATTGAAATACCTTTTATTTTTTCTCTCAAACAATGTAGCCAATCACGATGCTCTCATTTGTCGGCCAACTACCCCACTACAACTGCTCCCCAAGGAATGGAGAACGGAGCGTAGAATGATTTTTTTTAAAAAAAAAATTATGTAATAATAATTTTTATAATATCACGTAATCAAACAAATAAAAATATTAATATTTTTTTAAAAAAGAGTGTTCACTTCGAAAATAATATACTTGGCAAGAATTATGACTAAAAATTAGGAAAGTAAGAATATTTTACCTTATATTTTAAGTTTTTAATATCTAACCAATAACCATGATCATAGATCTCTTAGATTATTTATAGTATCATTGTTTTAATTTTGATTGCAAACAGAGATGTGTGATATACTAATAACTGAATATTCTAGAGGGGAAAATTAGTGGAGGAGTGAACCAACAAGGGGTCCAATTTTACAACAACCTCATCAACAAGCTCCTTGCCAATGGTGATCTTCAAATCTCTTTTTTTTTTTTTTCTTTTTTGACTAATATTCAGACTCTTTGCTCAAGAGCTTATATGATTTGGCTTTAATTTCCATATTGACTCTACTAATTAATGAAGTTCAACTATTTTGAGCCGGTTTAAAGCCCTTCGTTACTTTATTCCATTTTGACCCTCCAAAAGCTCTTGAAGATGAGCATGGTGGATTCGTGAGTCCTAAGATAGTGTAAGTTAATCAATTTTTTTGCTCTTTGTTTCACGTAGCTAAGGTTTGAGTTTTGTGGAAATGATGATGATTATGCATTTCTATAATGCTAATTGTTGCGTCAAAAATAGTACTGGATCCTTGGGAAGGGTATCAATGGTACAGAGTCACTCAAATAACGGCACCAAATCAGAGACAAACTTAATAAATGTTGAAGGAACAGGCAGGCATATGTAAAATAAACAAGGTTGGAGATGCATGCAGGCCTGATTTCGTAGAGTACGCGGATTTTTGCTTTAAAACATTTTGGGACCGAGTCAAGCTGTGGGTAACCATGAATGAACGCAACGGATGGAGCATTAATGGTTACAATAGTGGTAGCTTCGCTCCTGGTCGATGTTCAGGCTACGTAGGAAATTGTTCTTCTGGTGACTGCGCAACCGAACCCTACGTCGTTGCCCACCACTTGCTTCTTTCCCACGCAGCTGCTGTAAAATTGTATAAGCAAAAGTATCAGGTGATTTTATTGTTAGCAAGAAAATTTCTAGCTACTTTGTTTTCAGACAACCATTGGTTTCTGATCATGAAGTACGCACCTAGGAATAGCCCTCATTGTATATATTACGTAACCTAAATCTCTCTCTCTCTCTCTCTCTCTCTATATATATAGTATATATATATATATATATATATATATATATATATATGTGTGTGTGTGTGTGTGTGTGTGTGTGTGGTGTGTGTGTGTGTGGACAATAGTGACCAATTGGTATAAGCCAATATCTAATACTGCTACAAACCGCATGGCCACTTCCAGAGCCCTAGACTTCTTTCTCGGATGTGGAGCATTGTATTTTCCCTTTTAGTTTTCTTCCAACAATGGATTAAACAGTGCAAGCAATTAAATAATTAGCATATTTAATTTGTTTTTTCCTATATCTTTTTGAAGGTTTGTACGTCCCATAACTTTTGGTGACTATCCGAAGAGCATGCGATCAGCGGTGGGAAGTGGACTTCCCAAATTCAGTGTACCTCAGTCCAAGATGCTAAAAGGGTCCCTCGACCCTCTTGGTGTCAATTACTACATCACAAATTATGTAGAAAATGCTCCTTCGTCCGACAAAGTCAACCTTAGTTATACTGATAATAGAAGAATCAAGCTTACAAGTAGGCTCAAAATTTACACTAACCCTTAATATTGCTCTACTCTTTAATTTTACATTGAAAAAAAAAAAAGAAATATTCTTAATCTGTACTAGAATAATCATATATATGTTCATGCATCCGTTTTGACAGCTGAAAGGAAGAGAGTTTCCATTGGCTTACCGGTAAGTTATTAGATTTTGGTCTCACGTGTATATATATATATATATATAGGTATATACGTAATCATTTAATTTGCTAAGCAAACTAAGGATGTCGGTGATTTTGCAGACGGCTTTGATGTGGCTTTTCATTTATCCTAAGGGATTGCGAGAGCTTTTATTTTATATAAAGGAGAATTACAGCAATCCACCCATTTACATTACTGAGAATGGTAATTAACTTTAAAATATTATACTAATTATATATTTTTAAACATGACTGATCAGTACTATATTTCACTCGTTCAATATTGACACCAATATTAGAATTTTGAAGGAGTGGCTGATGCAAACAATGCCTCGTTGCCAATTAAAGATGCGCTTAAGGATAATGTGAGGATAAGATACCTTTATGGCCACCTCACCTATCTTTTAAAAGCAATCAAGTGAGTCCATTTATAAAACTCAATCTTTGATATATATATATATATATATATATGTATGTATATATATATCTAACTTATTAATTAGGGAGAAAAACAAGATATATATATATATATATATATATGTCTTGTTTTTGGACCAAAGCAGCAAAATTAATTAATCTTAAAGTTGCTAGTTCAATTTTAGGGATATTGGATAAATAATATATTAATTGAAAATTATCGAATGGGACTTAATTCATTGGCAGGGAGGGTGCTGATGTCAAGGCTTATTATGTGTGGACATTTTTGGATGACTTTGAATGGGATGCTGGACATACCGTCAGATTTGGCCTCACATACATTGATTTCAAGAATAATTTGAAAAGATACCTCAAATATTCAGCCTATTGGCTCAAGATGTTCCTCCTTAAGTAAACCTGCATGCAGTTGATCTGATCATCGCCGCCCAGAGGACAAGTCTTCTCAACAACTTGTCAGCTGATCATCTGTTTGAACTTGGCAATTGTAATAAGAAATTTCCTGGCTTATTCAGTTTACGGGCTTCTATATATATTGTCAGCAATCGAATAAGTGATGGATGAATAAATAATTATTAGTGATTTATATTGTAAAAGATATATTTAATAATATTTTTACTGATACTATCATATAATGTTTTTAAAATATAAAAAATTATCATGAATAATTATAATTTTTTTAGATATTTTGACTTTGAAATATTAAATAAATTGATTGAATTTATTTTTTTAATTTAATATTAAAATTTTTATTTTATGAATTTTAATATATTTATTTTTTAATTATTATTTTAATTATGATACTATTTAAAAAAAATTTAAATCCGTCTCCGTTCCTGCCTATACAATCGACAAGGCCGGGTCAAGGAACAACACTCAGTCCATCACTCTGTCATGGATCGGAAATAATGCTTTAACTATGAACAGCCAAACCCTAAATTATACGTGCTAGTCAAAGATGAGAAACTAAGCAGGCATACATACATAGAGTAGTCTCTTAACGAGGATATAATTAATTAATGGACTGGTAGGTTTTGTTTTTGTTTGGTTTAGAGTTTAGGGATCAAAACATAAGGAAAATATAGGGTCCTTCTTTTTCACATTTATTCTTGTAAATGGTAATAGCAGACCGGAGGATTTGCCTATATTTTAGGCGGTCAATTATTGGAACCTAGCTAGCTGCTTCCCTGCCCTGCTGACGCATAATTGAGTATTATCGATCTGTTATATTAACATCTCGATCTAGCCTGCTTCCCTAGCTACGGTACCAGTTTATTTCGTTCAACTCCTCATATACTTTTAGCTGGAAGAGGATATATACGTAATACGTTCATGATCATGTATATGGCACGCCATCCATGTTGTTTCCTCGACTTAGTCCTAGTTCAGCACATCCTGCGGCTATGCCCTGCAAACGTACACCACTACATTAACAATGCCCATGGGCCATGGCTCATGCTCATTGCTCAACGGCTTGAATGGTGAAGCCAGGCCCACCGTGGTTTTGATCTTTTGAGGCCCAAGCCAGACATAATATGTATGCTTAGGCTTACCTGCAGTGAGGCCAAGTATTCTAGGCTTAGCTAAAAGGATCCATGGCTAAAACCTGTACGCAAGCAATTGGGCTTGGGCAACACAATCTGTTCTGGTTCTGGACGGTTTCTTTTCATGTTTGGATTAATATTTCAACAAGCTGTCGCACTTGAACAAGTGGTAAGTAGGACGATGACGATGACTGCTACCTTGCACTAAAATTATTTTAGGGTTGTTATTCTACAGAATTCAACTTGAAAACTCTGCAAACCTAAATAAATGATCTAGGGGTTATTAAACAATTACTTGAACGTACTGTGGCACTTTTCAGCTTTGATGATCCAAATTGACCCCACTTGGTGGCCAAACTATCTTGTCAAGGGCAAAAGTAAGGCAATAGGCAATGGAGAAGCTGACGAGGACGATATTGATGCGTGGATGGGTTCAGTCAAATAACATCCAAATTAAGAGGACATAAATGCACATGGGAGGAGAGACAAGGCTCACATGAAAGAAACATGGGCTATTCCTTAGGTTTGTTTCCTATATTTAAAGCCATCTCCGATCTTCTTTATATTATAATTAATTATAGGTATTTTGTATTTTTGGAGTCCTCTTCTCCACTTATCTTATCCTTTTACGACAGTGAAATCATTAATGGATCAGTCAGTCCTATTACCAACACAATGCCTCTGCCTCATGTGCTCTATTAATTTCAGGACCCCTTGTGTCTGAACTATATATGTACGCAAGAACGCCCTCTCAGACTCAGTGGACATTTATAGGTTGCAACAAAAAAAGAGGAATATTGTAGGACGTACGCTGGCAAAGGGAAAGGGGATGATATAGTCTTTTTCTAAGAAAAGATGATGCCTTGTTTGTGTAACGAGAGAAGACACCCACTTCCCAGTTTTGCTAACATGTCTGTCTATCCCATGATTGGCATTAATCATCCATGAGCTCTCCTATCCACGCAGGAATCCTGGTGAATGGCATGTCCACCAGACGGGGCACAACTGGAACCTGGGTTTCAGTTTATCTCGGCTTAATTTATGAATTTTCAGTAATCATGTTCCATTTTTTTTTATGCTTTACAAGATCTCACTTACAATTACAGTACCGGGAAAGGCAAAATAGCAAATCGTGGCCACCATATTTACTGGTTTAGCTACATTGGTTTCCATCAGTTGTCACATGGGGGTTGGTCCCAGCACTTTGATACCCTTTTATGGTTTTTGAGGAAATTAAATTGCAATGCTTCAACAGTCCAGTATTGATCATCAGAGAGTACATGAATGATTGATTATATATATGTAATGTTGAAAATGGACACCTAGACTCTATCCATGCATCGTTATGCCATTCTTCAAAAATATTGCAACGACTTCCCTTTCTTTGCTTTATTATTATTATTATTATTTATTTCTGATAGTAACGTCACAACAACGACTACACAAACTACTAGTAACTTGTTTTATACACAAAGGAAAATAATTATTTCACTTGATTATCAAGCCAAATTTAATAATTATGACAATTTGGAAAGATTATGTATAGATATATACATATATGATGGCAAATATTCACCAACATTAATTATACCCTATCATAATTGTAGTTTGAGGCAAAAACCAGGCCTTGGGGAGAGCTTTCCATTCGCAGAAGATATTGGTTCTCAAGTATATTAGTTGGAGTCATCATGTGCTGCTAAAATTTGTTTTACAAATGCAGCTAGCGTCATGCATGCATTTAAACCTCGACACTGCTGGTTGGTGATTAAGTAATTAATTTCTACACACTCTGCCTTTTGGTTTGATATCCAACCTCAAACTGATTTATGAGTTTTGTCCTTTTGGGCCAATAATTATGTGATCGTCGATTCTCACAAAAAAAAAAAAAGCCAGCTTTTCAAGATGAGGTTGATGGGCGCGCGAGTGTAGTTTTATCTCCTTCAATTCCCAAAAGAAGGATGGATAATGTAGGCTGTAGCCTATAACCTGTAAGCTGCAGGGGATGGCTTCCAAGGGAAACAGTTGCTTCTGTATCAAAAAGTGTATAACATGGTGACCCGCTCTTTGTTTTTCTCATGATGCGTGAGTGTCAGCACAAACAATTCCATCTCATGATTGCCCAAAAATAAATAAATAAATAAAAACAAGCTTCTTTTCAGTGCAGTAATGTGTGGCTCTTTGCTTGTCCAACAAGATGGGTGCCACTATGGATGCAATCATCCAATACTTACTAATTCTACATTATTCAAGGTCGTAGATGTAAATTCTAACATACAATCGATTAATGCTTTACGAAAAAATACCCAATGAAGAGTATTAATTATTTAAGAATATATTTTCATTCAACAATTTGAGAATATATACCATTGCACTGATAATACAAGCACATACGCAGGCATATGATTATTAATTTTAAGTTTTAACACTTGTTTAGGAACAGTATAGTATTGTATAATTCCATCAGCATGTATCCTTTTAAAGAGAATTCGTTGTTAATGGGACTCTTGGGCAAGAGGCTGATTCTAACTATGCTTTGCTTCCTGTATTTACCATAACATCACTTTGACTTGCAAATTTTGGGAGTAGTTGCAGCATAATTAATTAATTAATTAATCAGGTTAGCACCTGCCACGAGTAGGCAGAGTCTTCACCCATCACGTGGACGAACCATGAACTAATGTCAAAATTTGTACTAGTAGGCTTTTTAAAAGCTCAGATTGGGCTCTTGGGGGGCGGGGGGGTGGGAGTTTGGGAACCAAATCAGGCTTCTACCATTTGAATGGTTCTGACCTCTGACGCTTGAAAACTCCAAACTACCGATATCCTTCTCGCATACTCAGTCTAACTATGATGCATCATTCTGTTCTTTCTTTTTTGAAAGAAATATGATGCTGGATTTATTCCAAGTCAGTTGTATTATGATATCCTTGGAACAAGGTTAGAAACTTGATTCTTAGCTTTATGAGATACCAATTTTCAGAAGAAAAACATGAAAATATATAGTCCTGTATTTCTAATCCGAAACATGTATGAAACATTGCACCCATTACCCATAGATTTGGTCAAAAAGCTTAATCTTTTGATGGTTGAATCATGAATGATATGGTTGTTCAACTCCTAGTTTTCACAATCAAAATCATCCAACTACTGCTTAATTTTTTTCCATTTTCCCATAGTCCCTTGCAGGAAAAACATTCTAGAGATTATGACAATGTTGCCAATTATGTTATATATCACATGAAACCACAGCAAGAACAAAACAACTAGAGGTTAAAACCAATTAATGCCAACTGTTTTTTAGACTTTCACCCAACACTAGGTAATTAATTCCTAACTACTTGCACCGAAGAAAAAGATATGATTCGAAGAGTTGTTAGTGGTTAAGCTATAGTTGGTACAAGTGATAATAATAAGACATGGACCCAATAACCATATAATTTAAAAGATAATAAAACCAGCGGGTCGTAATTGAAGTCGTTAAGGCATGATAGTTGCAGCTTGTGTGTTAAGTTGAACATTATTCTTGTCAACCCAAATATCAACATTTTTTGAACTTGTGGCTAACTCAAATTTATCTATGCTTACTTAATTAAGATCCCGAATATCATAATCTGCAATTGTTAATTAATCTCCTAACCATATGGCATTGACGTAAGCTCTCCAACAAAACCAAGTTTAATTTGATCTTCTCGAGTTGACAGGAAAACTAGTTTTGACTCACTACTTGCAACGTTGTTAAAATCTGGAAGGACAAGATGGATCATAAATATGGTATTCCAGGAGCAGGGGCAGGGGCAGGGGCAGGGGTTGAACTCTCCATTTCCCAAATACATTTTCTCATTTTCTGATGTAA